TTTTATTAATATATCTGTAGACTGTCGTCTGCGTTATTGATTTCTTTTCGAATTAAGGTGACGATTAGAATGTCTTCCGAAACTATTATTGAAGTGAAGGATTGACAGGATATTCTGTGCATCTGTATTTTAATATAACTCATCAATTTTAATAGTTTCGTATGTAAAAGAATATTGGAGCATAAAATAGTAGAAGTAAATACAAACTTCAATGTTTATCTCGTAGTCACAAGTTCCAATTTATATAATAGTTTAAAGATTTTGTGGCCCAATTTTATTTTATTTAAAATATAAATTCTGATGATTTAAATTTAAGAACGTATTTAAACGACATAAATTTAGTTTGTTTTCACTTTAAATAATTTTTAATTTGGTTTTGGTATTTCAGACTTTTTTCAATATAACTAATTATTTCTAGTTGATAATAAACAGAAGAAATTTCTCTAAAAAAAAATTTTAAAAATAAAAATTTATTTTGTTTAACCATTCTCTAAATATTTTTATATTCTCTCATAGACAATTTTTTATTAAAATGATACCTTAAAAAACTTTAAATAAAATTGTATTACATAGCATCTTAGAGTGATAATGTGCATGTAGAAGTTGGTCTCTTGATCGTATGATTCAATTGTCTACACGATGGTAAGTAACATATTATATATATATGTTTGAATCTAATCTTCATCCTTACGTATTTTAATTTCGACTCGTTCGGCCTCGTCCACTACATAAGACTGTGATTCATCTCATGCACCGTCTGTAATATCCTTACTTTTCAATTTTAAATCGGTTTCGAACGGGAATCATGTAGAGTCGTTTTTGAGACAAAGACTAGTCGGGATGGGGTGACATGACTAGAAAAAAGACTAGACATTTAACCCGTCTTTTGCTTATTTGAGTATATAGAGCAAGCAAAATAAATCTACAATCTGATTTACTCTGTGCCACGTTGTCAATACAATCACTTGTTAATAACGACAGAAGTAATAAAACATAGCATTAATCATTCCTTGGAAGTATTGCTTACATACATGAATGTATTGGCATAGAAAGCACGTGCAATACAATCATGTAAGAGACAAATATGCTACACTTTTTAAACTACTTTCTGTTTGGGAAAATGTCACTATCGAGAGTAAAAGTAAATGTGCGACTGTAGAATAGCGAAACATACAATTAGATCCTTTCAAATATCTGCATTAATACTCGGAAGGAAGAGAAAGATGATAGCAGGAAGCAGTCAACGCTCGTAAAGCATAATGATCAAAAGAGATTTCCTAAATATACTCTTGAGCAACGGCAATATAGAATTCAAAGAAATAGTATAGATTTATTTGAACAGTGAATTTTGTAGCAATTTCAAGAATTTGTCAATAATTTCATGTTCTACAACTTTTTGTTGCACACAATTTGAGTTGCATCTTCTGTTCGAAAGGAGCACACAGAACTGATAGATACAGATCTACTGATCTTAAATTAATCATTAATTGGCCACTTGCTAATATTGTCTTTTATATATTTCCATAGGAAAAATTCAATAGAAGCTAAGTCAAATGAACATGAAACTCATTGAATACAACCATCTCTTTGATTCTACATGTTAGGAACAATATAGTTTCGAAACTGCACTCATTTTAAATAAGACGATCTGTACATAACATATGATTCATGTTCGGAACTCCAGACACATCATCAACTTTGATTGTCTGTAGCTATGTGAAGCGTTCTTTTAGTTATCCACCGACCTGCGCTTAAGCATAACTATAGCCATTTTCTATTTATACTTTAATTGATATCTACCACAATCTGAATTCCTATTGTTTCTCTTTGTAAGTTATATATAGTTTTTCTACGTGCATTAGAAAACAAAACACATCACTTGAATGGAAAGAAGTCATAAACAAAAGCAATAATCAAGTTAAAGGTAGTCATTTTTTTTCTCTTATCAACAATGAGTGGGAGACGTCTTAAAAATATTTTCTAGGAGAGATGAATAAGTTCTCTTAAATATTAATCGTGATCACCGTCGTTGCCTTTTGTCATCATCTTTTTTTGTATATATCTTTATAAATGGTATGTGGGTGTGGGTGCCTTGCCGTGCGTGTGACTGAGGATGAGATCAACATCAACACCCACACTCACCCTCCCAACTCTCACTCATACATTCCTACAGCCATGCCTGATAACAAATTCAGACTTTTCGCCTCTGACAACTGTTGATTAAATTTTATTAGAACTCGTTTTTTTCCAAAAAATAGCTTTTCCAAGTAGAAAAAAAAATTAAAGTCACAAACTTTCGGAAACTGAATTACAAATTCGCATATGTTGACTCTGACAATCTTTGATTACACATGAAAGCAAATCATTAATTTTAAAAAGCAGCCATTCCCATTCCAAAAACATCAAGTTTATGACATTGTGAAAAAATCGACTACAGATTAAGATTGACGTATGGAAGAATATGAATGTTAGAACGAGCACTGTGGCAAGGCATACGTCTTCTTGTGTGTTGTATATTGGCATATAGCACTATTTTTTATATAAAATCATTCAATTTCTTTTGATTGATTTTCATTTTTGAGAAACAAAGAAAAATTCATCAGAAAAACATCGATTCAATGCAGAACTCAAATCACGTCTAATCATTTAATATTTTATTATTTTTGATATATTTAAGATCGGAAGTGGTACTTTTCCCATAGCCTATACCATTCTTTCTCATTCTATTCTTTTCTATTACACTGATGTATACTGTATAGGTGATTGAATATATGAAATTGCTAAATCAAACTTTGGACATTTTTAATGTTAAAAAAAAAACTAATCATTTTTATCATATATCGATTTGTTCGATTAGTTTCGCACTATACTTTGCAGTCGAGTCAAACTCGAATGCCATTTAGTTTCATAACTTTCTATGGTTTTTGTATTAATAAAGTGCAGTGTCAATTATCATTATTTTTTTGATAAAATGATTTTTTTAAATTTTTGAATTATAAATCGTGAGACTATGTCATGAAATAAATCCAAATCAAATAGAACAATTTTCATCATACATAGAACTTTTATTTATTCCAACTATTCTCAGACCAATACAATTTATAAAATTTAAAAAAAAAAAAACAATTTACATCGATAAAAAAAAAATCTCTATATTAGTCTCGGATAATTTCTATCATTGAATATCAAATACCAACTATACTTTTTTGTTCTGCTCGATGAAAATATCTATATATATATATATATATCGATATGTATTTGCAAAATATATTATCAAACATTGATAGACAATATCTTCTATTTTCATTTTTCAATATAAAAACAAATGCAAAAACTATTTCAAATCTATAGTAAATTTTGTCACTATCGATCAATAATCATTATAACTTTTCTTCTCTTTATTCTTCTCATTATTTTACTTATTATTACTATTATAACAACAAAAACTCTATTTCTATCTCACTCTTCTACAAAAATTAACATTATTTCAAGTACATCAACACCTTCTATTAATGAATCTTGTTACATGTCAACAACAACAGCATTACCTATTTCATGTGGTTGTCCTATTAAATCTAATATAAAAATAATCAATGGACAATCATCTAATCAAGGTGCATGGCCATGGATGGTTAGTTATGGTCCTAAACGTATTCATGTATGTGGAGGTGCACTCATTACTTCAGAATATATCATAACAGCAGCACATTGTCTTCATTCAAATGATAAAAATAATCCAATTGATATTACAAATATTGAAATACGTATTGGTATAACCAATTTAAATGATGTTACTTATGAAAATCTTTTCTCTATTCGAAAAGTTATTTTACATAATGATTTTAATCCTAATACTTATAAAAATGACATTGCATTAATACGATTAGATCGATCAGTTATTCAATCAGATACTATTCAAATGTTATGTCTTCCTCGTTTTACATCATATATTTATCCTCGAGTGAATACAACAGTTATTGCTATTGGTTGGGGTCATACAATTGATCCATTAATAGATTCAAATTCACAAATATCAACACAACTTCAACAAACATTTCTTCCTATTTTACCAATAATTAAATATAATAATAATAATACAAATTTATGTTTTAATCAAGAAATTGATTCACCTAATCAACAATTTTGTGCTGGTTATGAAAATGGTTTATCTGATACATGTCAAGCTGATAGTGGATCACCATTAATGTTTTTTAATGAACAACATTGGGAACTTGTTGGTATTGTTAGTTATGGAATAGGTTGTGCTCAAAAAATGTTACCTGGAGTTTATACACGTGTATCAGCTTATATCGATTGGATTCATGATCGAATTAGATATTAAGGAAAAAGAGACACAAAAAAAAAAAAAAAACCATTTGCTTATTTATTTGAATAGATATATTTATATAATTATATATTTATAAAAATAATTAAAATTCTTTTCTTTTAAACCCAAATTCCACTTGGGCATAATTTTAATAAAGTACTATTCATAAGTTCAAGATGACCCGGCTTAACAATATCACTTGTTGAATTCGAATGAAAATGATATGGTGATCTAGCAAGACCTATGGAAGAAAACAAAAACAAAAATTTTTTTTTTCTTTTTTTTTTCAATTTGTACAAAAGATTTCTTTTTAAGTGACATATGTATAGACATGCGCACAATGTGACAAAAAAGCTAACCTCATCTAATTATCGCTTAATTATTAACTAAAAGTTTATATAGTCGAAATTAAATTTAGGTTTTGATGGAAAATTTTTGACTTACTATTAATCAATGAATCATCTAATTGAATTACATCATTTTCTAATTCAATTATTCGTTTTCGACGTTGTTGAATAACATATTCTGTATCATCTGTAAGTTGAATTAATATTCGTAATAAATCATCTTGTTGTTTCAATGAGGAATTTGAACGTTCAAGATCATATTCACATTGAACTATTTCCTATGAAGAATATCAAGAAATATTATGAAATCAAAAATTTTTACTCGAATAATCTTCAATTTAATAGAACTTCTTTTTTTTTCCAATTTGCTATGGTGAATAAGATAGCAAAGATATCATAACAAACATTAGAAAAAGTACATTTCATTTATGTTTGTAACTGATACGATTGTAGAATGTTTTACTTAGGACAAAAATAAGAACAAATACAAATATAATATAATGTTTTTCAAACCTTTTTATCATTATTGATAAGTTTTTGTATTTGTTCAATATCTTCATGTATTTGATTAATATTATATTGAATTTGTTCTTGTAATTGTATTTTTTGTTCTAATGTTGATGAACAACGTGTTAATTGTTGTTGTAAATGTTCATAATTTGAATTTAATTTTTTATGATAATCTAATTCGAAATCTAATTTATCTGTTGAATATTCTTGAGTTAATGTTTGACAATCAGAAAAAAGATGTCGTTCACGTTCTTCAAGTATTTGTAATTCATGTTGTATATTATCTCGATAAATTTGTCCTTGATGAATAGTTACATCATAATATTCAATTTCTATAAAAATTATTATTAGAAAAAATTTTTTTTTTTAAATGACATATTTTCATTTTTTAATTACCTTTTTGTTTTTCATTTAATTCATTTTCTTGTTGTTCAATTTGAATTTCTTGTGATTTAAGTATTTTTAATAAAATAATATATTGTTGTTGTTGTTGTTGAATATTTATATGATTATTATTTGATTTATGAAAAATATGAAATGCACTATTTTCACGCATTGATGATGGTACAGCAGATTTAGGTCTTGTATGATTAATAGTAGGATGATTTTCTAATGAATTTTGAAGTGGTGTACGTGATAAACGTTTATGTATAGATAATGGTGATGATAATGATTCATTCGGATGAATATTATTATTGCTACTATTTTTATTTATTGATGGAAATATCTGATGTAAATTTGAACGTTTCTTATTTTGAGATGATAATGTTGTAGAACTAACATAACTATTATTATTTGCTACTGTTCGAAAGTAACCAGATGAGGAATTTAATGGTGAAACAACTAAGAAAAAAATAATAATATCGACTTTTTTTTTTTTTCAAAGTACAAGGTATAATAGATCTTTGTTCATTTTTATACGACTGTTTACTTTCGTCATCGGATGTCATTAACCTTCTCTATTATCTTTATCTTTGCTTGTTTTAAACTTTACATTGTATATAGTAACTATATATGTTAGACATATGTGTCAAGGTATACATTATTGTCTTCTTTAGTCAGTGACTTTTTTTATTGATTGAAAAAAAAAATGAACGAACTTAAGTTACATTTTACTTATTGCATGATGAAATATTCAATGTACTATAGCTGGATATATGTCTTGAACTATTACATCATGTTTGTTTTTTTAAAGAGTACTAAGCAACAATAGATTTTACATGTAAGACTAATCTTTATAATGGACATGCAAGCACCAAGCCGATTAGACCTGAGGTACTTGATTTTAACTTCATTCTTCTTCTTTTGTCTTGAGCGTGTTGTTCAAACAATAAACGGAATACTGTCTGTGTATATTGTTCGATGCTAAGTGATCTGCATAAATGTAGACATATGATTACATGTTCATGATACTACTTATTTTATCGAAAAAAAAAGAATATCAATGGATTATAAAAATAATACTGCCTTGAGCTTTTACATGAGAAAAGTAAATGAATAATGTGGAGTTTTTCAATAGAACCGGTGATTCTTTTTTAAAGAATAAAAAGGTATATATATGCAATTATATTTGCTTGTTATATTAGAAAAATATAGTCCTCACTGAATCATATTATTGGGCAAGGTCGTTTATATATATATATATATATTCATGCATATATGTCGTCTATATTTCTACGGCAATAAAACCTTTTCACATACTATCAACAGTTGTCTGTTGTTGTTGTTGTTGCTCAATTGGTGTTTTTCGTCCATCTAAACTTTTCGAACGTTTTTGAATATATGATAAATTTGTATTTGATGGATTTTGTTGTAAAATATAAACCCAATCAGGATGATGAATAAGTTCACATGTTAATTCATTTGGTGATAATGTTCTTTGAGTACCATCTGGTGCACATTGAATTAATGAATACCTACCTGCTTTACCTTTATATTGAGCAAGTGCTATAATAATATCATGTACAGTAGTCTTTCGGGTCAAATCACAGATGATGCGTGCAACACCATCAACATACACTCGAAGGTCCATACTGGCGCATCGCGAGTTATTTTACTTAAAAGTAAAAAAGAAAAAGAAACGAAAGAGAGAGAGAGAGAGAGAAAGAACAGAACATATGCAACAAATTTCACAATCAATCAATAGTAGTCGTCGCCGTCTTCATTGCTGCCGAGCGAACGCAAAGAAAAGGGAAGAGACTCGCTTCTAAGCAAATAAAAGAAATGAAGAAGAAACAAAATCAGATATGAATGGGCAAATACACACCTCAATATATGTATTGAAACTTGTCAATGATCATTTAATCATTGACAAATGTGCAATATCATATTGGCTAACATCTTAAGTTATGTGCATACGTTTATAAGGAAAGAAATATTAACGAGATGTATTTAAATAAGAAAAAACGAAAAATGTTTCTATCATTCAATTTAATGACGAGAACACTTAAATTTATTTAAAAAAAAAAAAGAAGAAGGAAGTAGTCAAATTGAACACGACATACGTAATCAAGAAATCAAATTTCTTTTTTTTACTCTCTTATATTTACATTGTTAAATGCTTGATACTTTTTTCTTGTAATTTCAATTTACTATAATATATTGATTGACATTTCTTTTTCTTTTTATATTATTTTAACTTCGTTCTATTCTTATGATTTATCTTGAATTTTTTTTCAAAAAATAAAAACCATCAATATAGATTTCTCTAAGTGTGAAATAGATTTCAATGACCTAATTTTAACAAAAAAAAAAAAAAAAGAAAGTATTACACAATCATACTTTTCTATAAGTGTTTATATCATTACCTAAGGTATCTGTTAAGCTCAAAGGATTAAGTATGGTAATTGTCAAACACTTAACGAGTAATTAATATGTGACCTTAAAAGCAAAGTTGACATAACTTCAGAGAGTAAATAATTAAATACTTGAAATCGATTAGAAAAAAAAACAAGTTAAATTATACAATATCTTGAATATTTACTAAGGTGATAAGTAAAAAAATTTTATTAAAATAAATTATTTTTGTTGATCCTTTTTGCAAAGGATATTTTTATTGATGCGATAATATTTTCGTGTTTGATTAATTCATATTTATTGCTTCGAGAAAAAAATGTGATTTGATCAAATAAGTATTAAAGATCGATATAACTTGATTGAATAAATGAATAATGATTGGACTGGTTCTTAGAAATTCAATTTCTTCTCAGTAAAAAGCAAAGAGAAGATCGGCTTGATATATTTTTATTCTGAAAAATCATTAATTATAAGATCGAGACGTTTGAAATTGTTTCCAATTAAGTATTCACAAATTTTGATTTTATATGTATATATAATCTGTTCGCGCAATTTCTACTGGATTAAAATATAAAAGACGACGTAGTTGCTGTTGATAATCACAAAGAGATTGTTTTATTCCATCTATTTTGGGATACACTTCTTCACCATCTTTTTACTTAATCTTCCACAAATGTAATAAGGAAGTAGTTTATAACTTATAACAAGACATTATTCATATACGCTCTATGACATTCCCAAGGTTACATCTGTCTTTGTGTATGGAGAAGGGGGGGGGGGGAGTTCAAATTTTCACCCCTCTACTTCAACATTCTTTTTAAATCACGTCTAAAAAAATAGATATTTATTGGTACACATGAAATACATTAAAATACTTGATATAAGTGTCTAATTTCCTAGAATTTTACACTCAACGACATGGCATAAATTTTTTTTTTAACTTTTGCATATTAAAATGTCATAGATTGGCATTTCAGTGTACCTATATATATAAAAGATTTCTAATTATTCTATTTAATAGCTCTTATTTTTCAGTTTTTTCATCGAGGTAAAACTATTCTTTTACATTGTATCTTATTTCTCAGACGAAATGTCAATAATCACAGTAGTGGAGAAAACTTTTGCACTGATACCAATCATAAATCTTTTGTAGATGAAATTATGCAGTTGTAAATTCTCTATGCAAGCAAAACACTCGATTTTATACTAGCATTTATTATGGTAGATTACCAGATAATAGAAATTATATATATATATTGTTTAAATCAATATTTAAAAAGCAACACAGAAAAAGCTTGGTTTTTTTTATTAAATTATGAAATAAAGCACAATATAGATTATTCACACATGTGCCCGCACTATTACAGATGTTTGAATAAAATACAAAAAACAAAAGAAAAAAAAACATTTTATTCATTTTTTTTTCTTAAACATCAGATTCATATGAATACGTTCGTACGGTACTATTTAAACTTTTTGATCGTTGACGAGGATTTCTTTTACAATCAATTTCATCCTTATGTTCAATACTTAAAATCATTCGTGGTTTTAAATCATCATCATATGATTCTAATGTACGATCAAGTTCTTCATCAAGAAAAAATAATGTTGTTAAACCATCTTCACTAAGTACACGAAGACGTATTGAATGATCAAGAGGAATTCCTGTTATTGGATGAAGTTTGTTCTATTTTATATAGAAAGAATATATATATATAAATATAAATAATAATTTTTACATATATATATATATATATATGCATACCAATAGTTCTTTGACAGTCATTGTTTGACGAATATCACATAATTCATTAAAAAATCCCTTATATTGAACGAATAGACTTATTGTAGGTACGGCAAGATCTCCAATATCAGGTGATGATGGATCCGAACCTAATTGTATCTGATTAGAAAATCGACATTCTATTAAATGAAAATAATATTTTTTTCAAATTTACTTACAGTATGAAGTTGTTCTTTAACTTCTCGTAATTCACGACGTGTTCTTATCAGTTCATCAGCAATAGAAAACATTTTTTCTTCCTAAAATTATAACGTTAATTTCAAGATTAAGAAATAAAAACATAGTTTCTAGCATACAAATAATCTATTTAACAATTAACTTACATATTGTTTTTTATAATCATTTACCAAAATTTTTAGCATTCCTTTAAAAGTCATGATTTGCATGCAGTACGTTCAGTGTAATAGGACAATAGTTATTCAGACTATTGATTGTTTTAATAATGTCGATAAAGCAAAAAAATATCACGATCGTATTCAACTGTAAGTAAAATAGAATGAACGCATTTCTCATTTTTCTTCTTTCTTCTTCTCTTCGTATTTGATTTCCGATTTTCTATAAGGTAGAAACTACAACGAGAGAAACAACATTACATTGTTTTTTTTCTAAGGGAGTAAAACTCCGTTAGAAACGAGGAAACAACTATACAAACAGTAACACTACTTATTTCATCATATACAATAAGGTCAATTTGATTTTTGATTAATACAAATCATTAGTGGGGACCTTTTTTTCTTTTCTTTGATACTATTTGAGGAATAGTCGGGTGCCTTAAAAACAAAAAAAACAAAAAATAACATTGAACGAGAAAATGAAAAACTAACCCTCGATTTTTTAATGTTTCATTTAGTACATGAATATTATTACTCAATTATTGAATATCTTATAATCCAATCATATATACACCCATGAACAAGGGTTTTCTTTCATTCATTCTTTTCGTGTCGAATTCCTTTGGTCTCTATTGAATGTTCGTTACAACAATGACTTGAGCACTGTATTTTAGTGTAGTCTATGATTGCTTATGGCCTGATTCAATGAAAACTGTATGCCATATAATCAAATCGGCCAACATTTAGTTGATAGAATAGTTTTTAGCAAGGTTATCTCTTTTTTTCTTATATTTTCTGAATGTTTTAATAGTTTTACTTTAACTGTATTTGTATAAGCGCCTATAACGCATTCTCGGAAGAGTTTTGAGTCCGAGACGAAGAGAGTTTAATGTTCCTAACCCTCAAGACAGTTAGTAGATACAAAACAAAAGCGATAATCTAGTCGTGAAACATTCTCTCATACACTACTCTGCGATAAAGTATTTGAGTCATCCCTATAACTAACATTCACTTCAGACTAAACACCAATCGTTTTTAGCAAAAATATTCAAAAGCATCTATGAATATGATCTGTTAGTCCGATGAAATTTTGATAGTCATATGTTTCTTACATAGAAGAATTAATATCATTACATTTGATTGCAAACAAGAATAAAGTTTCTTAAATAAAATTCAGTTGTTGCAACTTAAAAATTTGTATGAGATGATCCAATGACAGATTTAGGCAGGACGAAGCGAAAGAACGGCCTTCCTTCTTGAAGAAATTTTTCCAAATGAAAAATAAGTTTACATTACCTTGTATGAGCCCCAAAAATGTGTTCTGTTTATAATCGCTTCATTCGCGTCCAAAATCCTATATCCCCTACACTTTTTCTAAATTTTCTGTCAAATAGAATGTTCACACTAGACTGTCGAACAGAATAGACTAAAATATCTGTCAAATCTTGGTGATGTTTCAACAAACAATACGATAATCTCAGCGCTAAAAGGGCTATTCAACAAAGTTCTTGTCCGGTGTGCAGCCAGCAGGATGTGGTACAGCTATGGGTCAAAATCTTTCAAAAGAACTAGAGTGATATAAATGAAATTTCAAGCTGAAATTTTGTTAATCGATAGGACTTGTAGAATACTCCGAAAGTTTCAGTGGAAACGACTGCTTTTTTTTTGTCACGATATTAAATTTTCCAGTACACTCGACTTTTGTATGATGCTTATGGCGAGCGAATATATTTTGGAAATTTAATATTCTACGGGCAAAACTTTACGTTGAAACTCTGCCATTTTCTACTTCTCAGTATGTATCTTAAGTTCGGTTGAAAATTCAGCAAATTGATCTTAACATGGTGCCAAAGTTTATGGGAATAACTCTTTAGACTTTTTCTAGTCTTGTCGAAACCTTCTTGTTGATCATCACATCGAATCGTTCCTGCGTAAGTAATTACGAAATTTTATTTTACTTTTTTTTACTAAGCTGTTACAAAATTCGATAGCACAGCATTATTTTTTCTTTTTCTTTTGACACAAAATACGTTTTCATTACAAGACAAAAAAAAATCGAAAAGCAGTTAGAAATATGGCAATCCAAAGTATTCATTTATTGAATTGTATTCGCGTCGTTGATTTTGTCGAGTATTCAATCGTTGAATTTCAGCTGAAGGATAAAGCCATCCTTTCAAATCATCTTGTCGAGCTAAATATTCTAAAACATAAGCAGCAGCTTGTATCATCTTTTCATATGCAAATACATTGATATTTTGAATGGAATCACAAGCTCGATGATAACATGGATCATGAATAGCACCGGCGATACCACCCATTCCTTGACCAAGAATTTTATCATAATAATTACGTTCTTCAAGCGATTTCATACCATCAGCGCCGGAGAATAGTCCGCCAGCCACAATTCCTTCAGCTAAAAATGGACCATAATCACTTCGGCCACTGAAGTCAGTGTTATTCCATGGCAAATTTTGTTGAGTGAACCATTCACGAAAGAGACTCGTAATTTTATTACTGCCTGGAAGTGCTTGTGGTGGAGTATTACTGTTAGCTGTTTTTCCATCATAAATACCAAACATATAATTAGGCGAACCAAGCATATCATAATTAAGATTGATCAAGTAGTCACTGAGACGTTCACCAATAACAGTAGAAATCTTGGCTTGTTTGACATGATAATCAGCACCAAGAAGACCAACTTCTTCAGCACCCCACCAACAAAATCGAACTCGATATTTATATTTTTCATAAGTAGATGTTTGAAAAAGACGAGCAAGAGCCACAGCTAAACCAAGATTTGCTGCACTTCCACTACCTAAGATGAATACAGACTAGATGGTGGAAACATTTTTCAATTTTTTTAATTTACCGTTATCGTTAATACCTGGACCAGCTGGTACACTATCACTATGACTACCAACAACAATTGTTTGAGTAACATCACCCGTCGGTGTATCAGCACAAATATTACCAACAGGATATCTTGATTCATCAGCTACATTGATAGTTATAAGAACACCGACATTATTTGATGCATCTTGAGCAGCATCAGCAAGTTCTTGACCAAGAGCATAGGAAAGAAAAAGTGCTGGTAATTCATTGTTCTGGCCTAAGGTAGTAAAAATTGGTGCGATACCACCTGGTGGTGTACCATCATTATATAGTAGAAGAGCAGTAACGTTATATTTCGATGCAAATGCTGCCTTGGCAGCAAAACTGCAATTACCCCTTTTCACTAATGCAACTCGATCATTTGGAGAAGGATTCACTGCAAGCCAATCATCATCAGAACAACCAAGATTTGGAATAACACTTATTGGAACATAGGTAGGAAAATTAGCTGATTTTGTATATTGAATAAAATAGAACTCTGATGCCGAAAGATTGGTTGAAAATATGCGATTAACAGTTACACCATTAATGGATGTCATTAATGATGGATTGGAACCAATAACAAAATTTCTTAAATAAAAATAATCTGTTGCTGCTTTAAAATTTGTATGAGATGACAAATAATTATTAATATAATCAAGTGTNTTAGCAGTTATACCATTAATGGATGTCATTAATATTGGATTGGAACCAATAACAAAATTTCTTAAATAAAAATAATCTGTTGCTGCTTTAAAATTTGTATGAGATGACAAATAATTATTAATATAATCAAGTGTTCGATTGAAACCAAGTGTATTAATAGCTCGAGTACCATTTGCATTCGTTGCTATATTTTGTAGTTCATTAAGATGCATCATTACATCTTGAATACGTATGTATGTAGCCAAACTTTCGTTGAGTTCTGATTGGCTTGTTGTTATAGAATTGGAGATTGTGATGGTTGGATCTGTCTGAGCCGTTGTTCTGATAGTCGATCCAATTGTTGTCTTGATGGCATCATTTTGAATTTCATTGAATCCTTTGTTAACTTTCACTAGAATAACTATAGACAGACTAAATGTAACAGTTACGAGCAGTGTTCCGATTATAACAACTGGTAGTAAAACTTTCATCCATTTAAGAATTTTATACGCGTTAAAGTTATGTTCCATATAGATATTGTTTTCGTAGTTCAAAACAAAAGAAAAATGATGAATGAAGATGCTGACGTTCGATATTTATAAAAAAAAGGTGACGAACAAAAGAATCGCGGAAAGCATTTAAATTATTGGACTTTGAATAATAAATATCAGATAATAACTATAAAATAAGATTCTTACGAAATGTCTTGTCATCTTAAATTTATTATCATGATAAACAATTTTATATTATAGCAATGAGTGTACTATATGTCAGAATAAAAAATAAAAATGACTCTTAGATATATTACTATATAATTTAGCTTGTAAAACCGTTTCGCTATGTCATCATGATTCTGACACATGATCGTGCAAGGGTATACAAGTACATGAGAACTGTTGCTTGAAATGTTTTAATAGTTTTTTTTTGCATAGTTGTATGACGCAGCGATTATTTCAGGAATACGTAGACGATTTAATCAAGAGTTCTATACAACTTTCTACATATCACTAAAGCAATAGAAATATGAGTAGTGACATTCTGGAACTTGACTGTTATAATCAAATATTGATAATTAATTATGATCAATCAATAGTATCTATGAGTTTAAAGATCTACGATAAATATACAAGACTACTAAGATCTGGACAAAGCAAGATATTAACAATGAAATAAAATTTTTAAAGAAATCAATAATATCAATTTTGATTATTCATAAGTAACGAATTCTATGTATGAACAAAAAACTATATTTATGCCAAAACATTAATTTGCATGTATGTCTCAAATATTCGGATAATAAAGAGTGTTTTATTTAATCAAAATCTTCTCTAGAATGCAAAGCCTTTTTGCATAAAATATCAATACAATCATCAATGTTATTTATATATATATTATTCGAAAAATAATTTATTGAAAAATATTTATTGGAAGAACATTAAAATCACTTGTAACTATTACAACAAACAGATATAATAAAGATTTCATAAATAAGGCATACCAAAATATTCATTTATAGAGTTATACTTTCGTTGTGATAGTCGATTTTTTAAACCCAATGATCTACCCTCCGGATAAAGCCATCCTTTCAAATCATCTTGTCGAGCTAAATATTCTAAAACATAAGCTGCAGCTTGCACCATTTTTTCAAATGCAAATACATTGATATTTTGAATGGAATCACAAGCTTGATGATAACATGGATCATGAATAGCACCGGCAATACCACCCATTCCTTGACCAAGCATTTCATCATAGTAATTACGTTCTTTTGCCGATTTTACATCGTCTCCTCCGGAGAAAAGTCCGCCAGCCACAATTCCTTCAGCTAAAAATGGACCATAATCACTTCGACCACTAAAGTCAGTATAAGTCCAAGGTAATTTCTGTTTAGTAAACCAATCCTGATATACAGCTGTAACTTTATTACTACCTGGAAGAGCATGAACTGGTGTGTTATTGTTTGCTGTTCGTCCATCATAAATACCAAAGATATAATTCGGTGAACCGAGCATATCATAATTAAGATTAACCAAGTAATCATCAAGACGTTCGCCAACAGCAGTATTAATTTTTGCTTGTTTAACATGATAATCAGCGCCAAGAAGACCAATCTCTTCAGCACCCCACCAACAAAATCGAACACGATATTTATATTTTTCATGAGTAGATGTTTGAAAAAGACCAGCAAGAGCAAGAGCTAAACCGAGATTCGCTGCACTACCACTACCTACAATATAAAAAGGATCAGCAGAATGTTCACTACTCGAACTTACCGTTATCGTTAATGCCTGGACCAGTTTCTACACTATCACTATGACTACCAACAACAATTGTTTGAGTAGGATCACCTGTCGGTGTATCGGCACAAATATTCCCTATAGGTGATAAAGGGAAATTTTTGACTTGTATAATGAGTTGAACACTTGCATTGTTTGATGGATTTTGAGCTGCATTAGCAAGTTCTTGGCCAACACTAGATGAAAGAAAAAGAGCAGATAGATTGTTTTGTTGACCGAGACCAATAGCAATAGGTGATACACGATCAGGCGTTGCACCATCATTGTAGATCAAAATAGCAGCCGCATCATGCTTAGCAGCCAAAGCACCCTTGTCTTCAAATGCACAAATTCCTCTTTTGACTAATACTACTCTTCCAGCTACTGGTGGATTAGCATTTTGCCAGTCATCATCTGAGCAACCAACATTTGGAATAGCAGTAAGTGGCATAAAATCGGAAAAATTTGCCCCTGTCGAAAATTTAATATGATAGAAGTCAGCAGCAGTAAGATCAGTTGAATATGTATACGTTTTGGTAACATCATTAATTGACGAAATTAAGATTGGAATGCCATCGAGAGCAAACTGTCGTATAGAAAAGAATTGTTTAGATACTTTATAGTTAGTTTCGATAGCAAGAGTATTTGTAATATAATCAAGCGTTTGATTAAAGCCAATGGTGCTAACAGCTCGATTCTCATTGTTAGCAGTAGCTATGCGTTGTAACTCTTTGAGATGGTTCATTACATCATCAATGCGAATTGAGTCAGCCAAAACTGAATTAAGTGAAGGTGTGGATGTTGATTGATTACTTGATCCGTTGTTAACCTTGACAAATGTGGCTATTACAAGCCCAAGAATAGTAATTGTAATTAGTATTCCGATTCCAATACCAGCTATCATTAATTTCATACTTCTACTATTATTATTATTATTATTATTGGTGTATATTGGCTCGACAACCGACATTTTAGAGTTATTTTTTTCAGCTTGTACTGTTAACAACAAAACAAGAATGACAAATAAATATTGCTATAAATGCTTGTTATTTATAGACAAAGATAAGAAAGACATGAAAAAGTATTGATCTCAATTACGGATGATTCTTCATCTTTACTTTACTAGGTAGAGTGAAGTAAAATAAAATAAAATAAAATAAACTCAAGCATTGTAGATGTTTATGATGGATTTATTCGTTTATCATCATCATGCATTGATAACATCTCAATATGGTTGTAATTATACAGGTAAAGCAAACGATTTTGCAGTCACAGGTTTTTCTCAAAGAATAGATCTGCAATGCTGATTGTAAAATAATAACAATAGACGAATGTTGTTTTGAGACACTGAATTTATTACTATTGTCAAGATTTAAGTCATAAAACGATTTTAGTCATTTGAAGAAAATAAGAATAAAAACAATCTATGGATCAGTTATTTAACATCTACTATGGGTATTATTGAACATACGAACAAATAATGCATTATTAGAAAAGTTCTATTTTAATTTCTATTATTGTAATAAGACTCTGATTATTCAGTGACGTTAATATTTTATACGTGTACTGACAGATTTGTTTACGATCTTTCTTAATACACAGAGAGTAACATTACTATTTCTAAACCCACGTCGCATGTTTTTTTTTGTACTACCGCGGTACTGATAAGAATTGGTTATAGCACTTTAAATAAATTATGACGAAAACAATTTCAGAACATATTTTACTTATGAGTCTTTTTGCAGCGTCATCTATAATGAAACTTTATCTCATATCTAAAGACGATTCGAGCACGGTGTGGCGGCCCAGATGCATCAATTCTGTCAGTTTGAACAGATTTTCGTTAATATACACTTGTGTTGGTGCAATACATTATGATACAATACTTTCAAAACAAAACCAACAGTAACTATCACATGGACATTTTTCTGGATCATTAATGTTTTGGTATCTGAAAAAACAAGTCATGTATAAAATTATACTCTGGCGATTAAAATTTATCCTGCAACTTTCCTCCAAAATATACTTAAGCTGAATGAGATATATATATATATATATATAAGAAAGTAGCTTTCGAAGTGTCTTAATTTGAATATCACATGTTGTAAAGAACAATTCGTATTTCATTTATTATAGAACAAAATTTACATTTCGTAGAATTGAAATTCTTACAAATGAGAATTAGAATATCGTTTTATATTCGTTAAAAAAATTATCATAGCGAAAAATTGTTTTTGATGTTCAATTATATTTAATCATTTTGTTGATAATACTGTAAGCACTGACTTTCAATATAGTTACGAAACAATAAATATTGATTGATTTACTTCTAAAGTAAATGATAGATCACAAAAGACAATAGTTTTTTTTAATGTATCGTTTTCTGTTGATCCCATGCACTATTATTGTTTCAGTTGTGGAAGAAAATGTCTATGGCAATGCAATCTAAAATTCATTTTCAATACTTTTCATATAGAAATATCGTTTCAAATAGAAACTGATAAATGTCTACAGATATTTTTCCATATCATACAACATTTTAATGAAGCATAATTTGGAAATATAAAACAATCATGATAAGTTGAAGCAATACAAGATTTATGATAATATGAGTCATAGGTCATGTCAGTAATACCATCCATTCCTTGACCAAACATTTCATCATAAGATTATAATTACTTCGACCACTAAAATCAGTATAAGTACAAGATATATCTTGTTGATAGTTATTCAATCATCATAAATACTAACGATATCGTTAGGTGAATCAAGCATATGTTAATTAAGATTGATCAAATAATCGACCAAACGTTTCTCAACAATATTAGAAAAGTTTTGATTATATTCGAGATGAAATTTAGAGCCATGAGGACCAACCTACTCATGATATCATCAAGAAAATCGAACGTAGGATTTATATTTCATATCAGTAGTATTCCCAGTTGATGTAAATAGCACAAATGTTGCATAATGGAAAGTCTAGTCAATTTTTTATGTTAATATTTAATTGAGCATTGATGTTTATCGACATGTTTAGAGCTTCTTCAATAGTTTATGAAAGAAACAGAGCAGGTAAAGCATTATCTTGACCAAGACTAATTTCAATAGGTGTTAAACAATCAGGTGAAAATGTCCAATGCTATCTCATATCGTCACAACACTCACGGCCAAAAAAATAGTTAAACAAAAGAAAAACTAATGGATGGAAAAAGTGCCACTTGCTTTAATCAAACCGATAACGTGACTACTATGTTCTATATCTGATCAAGATTATATTGTGATTGAAGTTTTATGTTTCAATAAAGAAAATGATGATTAATTGGTAGTTGTTTGTCTGACATATATATATGATCCATTTATAAGAATTGAGAAGGATTTATTTTCGACACTATAGATAACAAACCATGAATATGTCGTTATACGTACTTTTGAATTGTCTTACAAATTCAAGTACTGTTCTGATTAAAGTTTTTGCTTTCTTTATCACTTTATAATATGACAGTGAAAAGTAGAATTCGATGCGTCCGAAAAGATTTATGATGTATATTCGAGTTAACCTAACCTATAAAAGAAAAGGAGACAGAATTCGATGAATAATAGATTCGTATGGATACAAATATGCATTTTATGAATGTGTTTATAGAAATTCGAGCTTGAAAGTTCTCAAGATAGTATATCTTCACCGTATATAACAGATGATATCAAAGTTCTACGTTAATTTTGTTTTCAGTATTAGCACGACAATAGTTCATCATGGAAATATGATAGATTTCTTATTAGAAAGAACAAACTCTATATTACAAAACGACGAAAAAATATTTCGTTCAAAATACTTACTGAAGGCTGAAAAATTCTCTGCACGTTCCTGGAGTTTATAAGAAAATTTTCATTCACTAAGAAAATTGCTCTTATTTCCCGTCTTATTATTGGACTTTCTAAAACATTTTTAACTAATAAATGATTTCGAAAAATAAGATCTTTTCTAGCAGTCAACGTTAGTGAAACCCCCTATTTGATGTCCAATTAGAGTTAAGTGAGTCTTCTGTAAATGCACATTATATAAGATGTACTTCAACGTTTGTTTTTTTTTTTCGTCTGGCTTTCCTAAAAGTCTTAATTTGAATGTAATTATTCTACTATTATGTTCAGACATATTTAGAATTCTGTGCATCGTTGTATTCATTCATTTCTTTCACATCTACATCCACCCTCCCATCAGATAATCGATGATCAATAACAGTTGCGTATTCAATTTAGTCGTCAGTCACTCAAGCGAAAACGAAAAGAGTAGTCAAAAATTGATCTGCTGTACTCATTGTATAGCATCAAATATATGAGAACTGATGAAATTCATATTGTTGAAGTCTGAAGATATTCTAAATGTAAGTATTTTTTTTTCTTTTAAATTCACTGGAAGTTTCATTCAACAGCTAAAACTTTTGTGTCCTTGATCAATGTTTCTCAATAGATAAACTTTATTACATAATCGCACAATTCATCTTCTATATCAATTCTGGAATCTGATTTTAAAAAAATTCATAAACAGAGACAGGGGTGTCCCGACCCCGGGGGCGGTGGGGGCAGGACGCCCCCCCAATCATCAAAAATAATCGTTTTTTTGGTCTGAAATCGAAAATTTTCTTACGTTTTGTTAGCAAAAAAAGTTTTAGATCTCGAAAAAGTTTCAAAATTTGGTCTTCTTTTCCAAAAAAATTCGCTACGCCCCCGCCCCCCAATATTCGTCGGCTCGGGACATCTCTGGGTGTGGGCGTGGGTGATTTGGTCTGATAGTCAGTCACTCTCACACTCACACCCACACCGATACTCACCCATACCTCACGCCCGTACCCATACTCACCCACCCACACCCACACCCACACCCCACCCTCTGCAGCATTGATTTCGATATGTGAACTCAATATATCAGGGATGGGAGTGGGTTTGGTTTTGGTTTTTTACTGAAGGCACTGTGAAGTGAATTTCATGTGGATTTAGGTTGCTATGTATGCGCCATTTCCATGGAATTGACCTCCATAGTGGTGTGTGTTGGGAATGTGTTTGTGATTGGCTAATTCGTCGACTAATGAATTTTTTTTTGCTTCGTGATAATTGTTTGTGTTGTGCTAGCTTCTCATCGATTATTGCGTACTATATTTGACTCAATAAGATTATGAGGAATATTTCTCACCTCGAATATCCACAAATAAGTTAAGACAAAATAGAAAAAGAAAGGAGACGAGTTATCTAGTACACATCTACCCATACTATGGCAATGAGGGATTTTTTTCCTACGCTTAGTTTCGTCGCATAAATTAAGACGACATAGAAAGTAAGGGAAATTGAGTAATATAGTCAACGTCATCAATCAGTATGACGAAGAGATTTGTTTATGTTGTAACGAGTGGTGTCGCATATCAAGCAAGAGGAAAGAAAAATCATTTGGTAAGTAGAAATCAAATAGTATGATGGTCTGGAATTTCTTTAGGCGTAGCTTCTTTTGCTCTCTAAAAAGCGTGTGCATTGAAGATGAAAAAGCTTTAGAAACATGTGAAATCCAATCATGAAAGTGTATCCATAGATTGCTCTTTACATACGTCAAATCGATCTGAGGAGCAGAGAAAAATCCGACCATATCTTGTGCCGTTTTTGAATAGAGTAAAACTTTGAGTATAAAATAATAGCGACAGTGAAAAATAGCAGCGATAAAAAACACCGACAGAGAAATATTGAAAACAAAAAAAAACGTGAAGAAAAATGTTGAAATAGAAACGAACCTAAAATAATCCAGGATTACTTAAATTAAGAAGATGGATATTGTAGAGAAAGAAACCAAGTATTTATTATAAATTTGAAGTTGAATAAGAAACGATGAGACCAATAATAAAAATGAGAGAACAGCACTGGAAGATGTCATGAGGAATCGTAGATATTGACTTCTTGAATATAAAGAACACGGAAACATCACCCAATAATCGGTTCGTTAGATCTTAATGTTGCAGTGACCTCTGAGTGTATTACGATAATCTTGTGGAATCAAGGTTTTCGATGATTTTTATCTGAGCTCTAGTCATGATATTTGGGAATTATTGCTGAAAGATGATTCTTTCGGTGTCTTGGCAAGCAATGAATGCTCTAGCAGTAGAGTGGGACTTCATACTTGCTGGTTGAATTAACTGTTCTAACCAGATCGAGAAAGAAAAATGCTTGGAATAGTCTGATTTTTTCTTTGGACATTGAATGTTCCGTCTGTGCTGCATTCACCATTGTTGTATGACGATATTTTTCGATTCGATATTATTATATCTAATCTATCTTCTGTCTTATACAAGTTTTCGAAAGCAAAATTTAAAGACAATATTACTTACGCTTTGTTAAAGATTAAATTGTTTATGTTGTATCACTCAGCGGTGGGTGTGGGTTTGGGGTCTGTGGAGTGTGAGCCTTTTTTTTTACAAAAAACCCACACCCACACTCACCCACACCCTTCTCGGTTGTTATATCGTCTGTTTAACAATGGTTAACCTATTTTGCACCAGATAAACGACGCAAACAGTCACATTCGTGCGACGTCAAAGTGACAACTATAGTCAACAATTCACAATTAACATAAGCAAGTCAAATTTTAATTCAACGTATTAAAAACACAGAAGGGAAAAGAGAGCAAATATATGCTGATCGTACACTTCTCTAATCGTTCATTCTATTAAAAAAAACAAAAAAACTATTAGTCAAATATGATCCATACATGTCATAGACATTCGAGAAGGTGAATATGTGTTATTCATCTATTGATGAAATATTAATTATTAAAATGATCAGTAAAGATTGTTTCAATAACATTTCAACTGTGATTTTTATTTCGAGAGACTATTGAGAATATACAGTTCGTTTTGTTTAGTTAGTATCATAAAAACAAATAAGATAAGATAGTTTTGTGTGGGGTGTGGGTGTGGGTTTGGGGTGTGCGTAATAGTTTGAAATTTTAGTCTTTTCATTATCCACACCCACATCCTCTCAATGTTGACCTAATTGTTTTGATGCTTTGAGGAAAAATCTGAGAAGTTCTATTGGATGATGATTAACATTCGAATCTTCGAATTTGAACTCAACTTTTCTTTCTATCTCATCATCATCGAAAGACTTGTCATCTCATAAAAATGTCTTAATAACAAAATGTAATGATTGATCATGAGTATCAAGGAAGAAAACTTGACAGTACCAATTGTTTCGAATATACGGCTGTTAAAGATAGTTGTAAACGATAGAAATTGATTAAATCAAACATTACGCTTCATTCATTTTTCAGAGAAAGAAAACCAACAGAATATCGTCAATAGTCTCTTGATCACGAAATTCTAGTCGAGAAATACTGGAATCATTTCATTGATGAAATAAGAAAATTTTTTGGAAGAGCCAACGATCGACGTTGTAAGAAACACTTCGTAAATTTTCATGTAGTCTCTTTTTTTGTAAAATCAATCAGATTAACATGCGGAAATGTGAGAAAATAGCTGTGAAGAACTATGTCAAGTGTTACTAATCACTGCGCATCTCACAAATGCGACAAAATTTTTTGGAATAATTGACACGCATATTCATTTTCAAAATAGTCACTATTAATGACTTATCTGAAGCAGAGAAAAGTTTACCAGAAAGTCTTAACATAATTGATCTTTTTGGTTTTCATCGAATATCAATTAATGGGAAAAAGAAATGAGCCTCAAATTTTTCACTGTTGTCATTTAAGGAAAGTTTCTCCATTATTTTCCACGTTTTTTTAGTTCAGCTTAGTGCGACTTTGAAAGAAAAAAAATATGACCGCTTTTTATTCGACTGTCGAAAGTGTTGACCCAATAAGATTTAATAAATTTCGATCATTTCATTGTTCACAATGAAAACATCGTTGTATTTCGATGAGTATTGACTCTCGATCTATGTCATTGCTAAGATTAAGCTAAAAGAAATTGAAGATCATCTTCTTGTTTTCCTTGGATCCTCTCTTTACACGATATTACTATGCAGGACACAAATGAAATTCAAGTCATAATAGCTGACAATAATCATCTTTCTACCTATTTTAAATATATGGCGGAACAATCATCTGCATTTGTAAACGATGTTCTAATTAAAAATTCAGAAACATCGGAATACTCGGCAAGTCGAAAAGACTTTTGAAATGCAGCTTCCTGTCACTTGCACTTCATTCGAAACTTAACGCATTGTGTATATCTTCATTCTCATAATCGCGTATGTTGACGATTCATCGTCAAAAGAACAAATTTTGTTTAGACCAGACATGATACTTTTCAATCAACGAAGAGAAATTATCATCAAGTTTAATAATATTCGCTGACTACAGAAGAATTCATCAACCGTTTAATCAAATAACTGCACTTAAGGATAAAAACAAAAGAGAAAAGTAAGACGAGACACGAAGAACGTTTTAATGATTC